CTAGTTGGCAGTGTTGTGCATATATTGTACATGAATTGTTGCCAGCTAGTAAGTGTCAAATTAAACTTGCGCTTTAAAATTAGCTTCCACTAGTTTTTCTATGACATAAGCACTTTTGAAGTTGCGGACCTAAATATTTTCATAAGCGCTTTAGAAATTGCGGAGCTAAATTTTTGGATTAGCGCTGCCCACCACTGTTTAAATTTAACGTGGTCACAGGCAAACATATTAGTGGAGCTGTCTTTTTGAGAAATTAAACCTTCCAGAAAATAAAGCCAGAAAGGAAAGTTTAACACACAAAGGAGGACGAAAGTTAACTGATTACTTGTCATCATCAACCACTGACATTACATGTACCATAACTAACATATCATAATATCAAACTGTGTCTTCATCCAATTGTTAGCTGGCTGTGGCTTTAGTTTTATCAACTCTAAGCACAAAACAAACGTGGACGGAGCTCGCCACAAACCTCTTTCCGATGTGCTTGTTGGCGACAGACAATGAAGCCATGGCAGACACGGTTTCGGCCTCCTCCGTGTCTCGCTGTAGAGCTTCGCTCAACGAGCAGCCGAGTGTAGAGGCCGAGCGCTGCAGCGAGCGCCAGTATTTACCTGCAGCAGAAAAAGCTCACGTAACAGCGGTTTCGCTGCAGATCATGCGATTGTGGATGTCAAATAAATGGATGAAACAGATTAGCATGTAAAAGTAAAGTGCAGTTTCTAAGGACACACAGGTTTTCAAAATTTTCTTTTTTGTCTACTTTTTCAAAACAAAACGGCAGTTTATATCTCTCTGTTTCATCAAGATATCTTTATGTTATTAGGTTGTGCATTCGCAATGTATTTTCCAAGGATAGTTCAGATGCAAATGAGCTCATAGGCTGGTTAAACCAAAATATTCAGTATGACATTATAAGAGAAAAACGTAGAAGAAGCTGAAATTAAAGTGATTTACTTACCGTGAACGTCAATTACTTTCTGCATTGAGCGCACGGCGTTGGCATTCGGTCTCTGCTGAAGCACCTCGTAAGGAATGGGATCCAACTAAACGCAAACAAAAACAAAACAGAAAACATTTCCAGTTTTGTTTTGTCACAATAATAAGGTTACACTTTTTTTTACAATTAGTCAAACTGGACAAGATCATACATGTGCCTGTAGAACCCTCAAAGATTTGTGCCGCGGGGACAGACAGAACATGGGTCGGTGATAAAAGTGTCTTTTTTTAAAATATGAAGCTGAGTTTTCAAAAAAAATCTGTGAGATTTCTCTCTAAATCTGTATACCTGCAAAACGGGGGGAAATCTGTGTAATTTACAGACAATCTGTCCAACTTGACATGTATGGAAGATACTTTTATTATAATTTAATTGCTGTAAACTGAGTCAGCATCAGTTAAAGGCATTAAACATTAGAGCATCTTATTCTTGGATCTAATAGTCGCCTCTGTAAGTATTTCTACGAATGAGCCTGACAGGTGTTCAGAGAGTTCGTTCCAAAACCCCGTTTGACCTTCCACGGGTCCCTCGTGGTTTGCAGGATCAGTTTTGAAAAGTTGACCACAACCCACCGTTGAGTCGGTCCAAGAGGTTGGGAACAATCTCAAGCTGCTGACACAATAAAAAAATACAAATCTGCCTGCAGATGCACACCTCCTCCCACTCAAACAGCTCTGCTATTCTTTGACACAAACTACAGCTTTGTTCTGAGTCCCACTCTAAGGACATGTGTACGCAGATGCAAAAACTTGGAAAGTGCTTGTTCACACATACACACACCTCAGAGAACGGGGCTAAGAAATTCTTCAAGCCGCAAAGCTATTCCCCGAAGAGCCTCCCTAACCCGGAATGATTTAATTTCCCCTTTGGCTGACTGCTCATGCAGCGTTTTCTCATCCCATTTTGTCCAACGGGCTCATTTAGCTCCACATTCTAGCAAAGACAACACACATGCCCTTTTCTGCTCAGTCATAATCCCAGCGGAATAACGCGCCAACATGGAAACATGGAAAAAGAGACATGAAGAGAAGAGAAAAAGAAGGGGAAAAAAAAGATTTGGCTTGACATTTTGGGAGCAGGATACTAGAGAGGAAAACCAAAAAAAAAAAAAAAAACGACTCATGTTTTCTTTTAAGGAGGACATGCAGAGACTGGGAGGGGACCACGGAGCCGAGGGAAAGAGGCAAGTTGGGGGAGACGGATACTTTAATCCTGCTGTGGCACGACAGGCTTCATCGTGCACTCAGGAACGAACCGAGGTGCATGCAAACATAACGTGCACTGAAAGTTACAGAAACTCATCTGATTTATTTAAAGGGGCAAGATCATGTAAAATCAACTTTTTTGAGTTTTATATCATGTTATAATGTAATACTCTCATAAAAAACATGCCCAAAGCCTTGCTTTGACTCATTCATGCATGTTTGAGAAATCCTGCAGTGTTTTTAGGAAGCCATGCTGAGGAGCAAAACGACAGGTGGGGACCAGGAATGCCCCTGGGACGTGTCTTTAAGCTGAACTTCCTCATGGCAGAGCGCAACCCCTCCCCACACACCCCACCCATGACTCCTGCAGGCTCTCAGGTGAAAGTGAGAGTGAAACCTAACTGTCTGCTGAGCTCAACATTAGTTCTCACTCAGTGAAGCTCTTTTCAGATTAAAGATACCTTTGAGGAAATGTATTTTCAGATGCCAAGTAAACTGCATCATAGAGCATGAGCGAACCCCCGCCCCCCGCGAGCGCGACCCCCTGCACTGAAATGGGACCGGACAGAAGCGGAAGGAGGTTCTTAAAGAGACAGAGGCCAATTTCAAGGCGTTTAGAAGAGGAAGTGAGGAGAAGATAAGTTTATTTTCTATTTAAACATAAAAACAGCATTTTAATAACAACTAAAGGTGACATAGATACTTTATTATGGTATAGTATTTAAATATATGCCTGAGAAACACATAATATCGCCCCTTTAAGACAAAGTACGAAATTTCAAATAAGTCTGGTAAAAGGCATAACCCATCAAATATATTAACCTGTCTCACTATAAATCCTAATTCTAATGGTGTTTTGAMCAAAAGGAAGCTTGTTTGTCTTTTGCACCTAAAATATTTTAACCTGTTAACCCTAATCCTAACCCTAACCCAAATTAAATTAGGTATTTCTCTTTTTCCAAAGCTGCATTTTGAATAAAAGGTAACCTGGTTGGCTACACAACTGTCATGTCAGAATGAAACTCAGACTGGCCCATTCTAGTCAATCAATAACGTATACCACATACAAGTGGGACATGAGGGGCTTGCCACCCATTTTGGGCTCTGGAGAGCCTAAAGATTAACCCAACTGGTCAAAAGAGGTGTCAATCAAAAGAAGACAACCAATCGAATTGTTTGAACAGTCTATTATGCAAATACAACGTCCCTGGCGGCAAGGGTAAGATGTAAAAACCAAAAACTGGGAATGTACCACGGCGGTACACTGAGGGTTGAGAAGGTAAACCTCTGGAAAAATTGGAATCGCCTATTTGTATTGGTTTAAACTTCCAGTTGCACGCATATGTCAAATCACTTGTCTTTACAGTCAGAAAAAATAGGAGGGTGAGGTTTGCATCCTGCCTGGTTTTGGTGATGATTGTTGTTGCCTTCAGAAATGTACAATTCTGTCAGCTTTAGTAACGGACAGCCAAGAAAAGTCACCATCGAGACCAAGACTGACGCATATTAAACTGACTCTGTCTGAAAGTGATGTATTGCTTTAACTGCGGCTGAGTGGGAGACAGCAGAACTTATTCATCACTCCCATCTCGAAAATTTCCACGTTGGACGACTCAAAGCCATCAAGCCCTTCAGTCAAAACTTGCTTCTCCAAGTTTCCGGCAGCAGCCGTCGACCGCCACAACCCGAGCCGGTCCCAGCTCAGCTTCACCCGGCCCTGCTGACCCAGCTTCCCCCTCAGCTCCCAGTCAGAGAGTCAGGGGGAGGTCAGGGGTTCTCTGGGGTTTGGTGGAGCTCACCTTGGAGCAGGGCTGGACAGGGGCGGCTTGTCAGTTTGATTGACAACTGGGCCTCACGCTTATAAACTTTAATGACTCTTGTCATGGTACCCCAGGGACCCCCGGACAGCAGGTACGGTAAAGACACATATGAGCTCGCACACATGCCAGAGTACTATGAACAAGCCTGCGTTTGTGCATGACATCATCCGTGGCAACATTTCAGTTTGTTTGACTTTGTGGTCCTGGATGGGCTTTTAGTTGGACATCAAATGTGTTGCAGTGTTTAAGAGAGGCAGAGTGAAAGATGTCCTTCGGACTGCTGATCTTTGCGTACGTCTACGTGTGTGATGCAGACATCACACAAAGCACGGGGCCCAGCCAACAAAACCGAGACACCGTGGAAAGCCACAAGCTGAAAAAGAGGAATGTGCTCTGGTAAAAAAAAATATATTCCTGAGGGAGGCTCAAATGAAAACAGTGGAAAGAGGAGGAATTCCACTTGTTCAGCAAAAGAAAAAGTGCACAAGGCATTCTTTGTTTACGGTCTTGTCCATGCGCATTTGTCGGCGGCTGCCAAAATCGTCCGATTACGTTACGCTAACTGAACGAGGTAATCACGTGCATTGTGCAAAACAGGTGATCTTTTCCAGATAAGAATGTAGGTTTGCTTTGGATTTGTTGGGAACACTCAGGCCTAAAGGGGGACAGGTGAAGTGGAGCGTCTTACTGTAACTAGAGTGCAAACACGCTTAATTACCTCATGGACAGCTGGTAACAATTAGCATATTAGCTTGTTGTTTATCAAATAATTGCTAACAACCGTGGTTAGGAGTTGGCCAACATCTGTTTGTGAGAAATCACAGACTAGTTCAGACTTCGGAGTTGACTAGCGTGGCTGCAAACTCATCATTCATGAGCTTTTTAATGGGAGACTTTACGATAAAGCGCCATTCGGCCATTTTTTTTACAGCTAATTTGAGCTCTTAAAAACAACAACTAATGCCTAAAGCTTGACAGCTACATTCCTTCCACTAGTAAACAGTAAAACAATAGGATTAACATACCTGCTGCCAATTATTACTTACTGTATTTTAAATTTTATTTATTTATTTATTTATTTATTTATTTATTTATTTATTTATTTATTTAGTTTAAAATAAAATGCAAATTTTATACATAACAAAGAGAAAAAAATAACACGTGAAATGAAAGGAGGCAGAAAGAAGAAAAAAAATTCAATACATTTTAAATGTTATCCTTTTGTAAAATACGTTTTTAAAATTTTCATAAATGTGCAATGTGGAGAGTAACTGAAAAGGTCCAAACCTATAAACCAAGAAAAGACATTACGTTTGAAAAGCTCGACCAAAGGTTTTTATGATGGTAATATAATGGATTTAGGAGGGGCACACACACACACACACACACACACACACACACACACACACACACACAC